CAGACCACAGTTAGGAACATAACAAATGCACCAAGAATGCAAACTTTCTGTGACTTTTCTGCTATGTTACTCCTCCTCCTCCTCCTCCTCCTCCTCCTCCTCCTCCTCCTTCTTCTTCTTCTCCTCTTCCTCCTCCTCCTCTTCATCTTTCTTCTTAATATTTTAATTTTTGACATTATAACACAACAACATTTCTTCCTTCCCTTTCTTTTTCTCTCCAAACTCTTCCACAGATCTCTCCTTGCTCTTTTTCAAATCCATGGCCTCTTTTCCCCCTAATTGTTATTTTATGCATGTAAGTACAAATATATATATATATAATATATATATTAATTAATATATTAATAATATATATATTCCTAAATATAACCTGCTCAGTCTGAATTCTATTACTTGTTTGTGTGTTTTTAGGGCTGACCATTTGGTATTGGCTAACTAATTGCTATGCTCTTCCCTGGGGAAGATAATTTCTCCCATTTTCTGCATTTCTTTGTTGCTTATAGATCTTTGCGTAAATGTAGAGGCCTTGTGGCCTTTTCCTCCACCATCCACTTTGATATGTCTGTTGGGGTTGTCCTTGCTCAGCTCAGGTTTGCACAGACATGATGGAGAGACTTTATGCGTGTAGCTTCTGACATTACTAGGAAATGAACTATCAGAACAAACTACATGATCTAATGGTTTACAGTATTTCCACCCCCTCTTTCACAATGTTCTCTAAGATTAAGGTGTAAGAGCGTTTTGTAGATATATTAGGACTGGGCTCCACATCCCTGTATTTTGATTGTTTGCGGCTTTCCCTGTCTGCTTCAAAGAGATGTTTCCTTCATGAGGGGTAAAAACTACACTTATCTGTAGACATAAAGACAAATGCTTAGCCTGTTGTTAGAGATTTATGGGGTTGGTAAAATAGCAGTTGTAGGTTCAGCTCCAATATCCATGACTTCACTAGCACTGAATAGTTAGCTAGGTTTCCAGTACCAGTTATTGTTCTCCCATTTTGTTAGGTAGGTCTTAATTACAATTAGAAAGCTCTTGGTTACTACCAAGGTATGCATGCCGCTACTGAACCCTTAGGGTTATTGTTGCAGGCTGGTAATTGATACGATTCATAAGCATCATAGATGGGCTGTTTCCTCTCTTCTTTGGAAGTTTGCATGGTGCCTTCTGGTACCATGAAAGCTAGTCCTCGAGGAGGAGTCATTCAGGTCAGTTCTAGCTCGGGGGTCTCTGGGCTGCTTTTTTGAAGTACATGGTGTCTTCAGCAATAGGAACCTACCTTCTACATCTGGGGGCAACCAAGAGCAAGAGAAGAAGGCTGAATGTTTTGAGAGTATCTTGGACATCCCTGATCACAACTAAAAAGGGCTTCTCCCACCTAGTATTGTTAGGTTTTTCTAGGTGATCTTTGGATTTTGGAGAGAACATTGTCATCATAGATAAGAAAAGTTCATTAAAACTATATATGTATATTACTATAGAGAACTATGTATATTAGAGTTTTGTTTTAGATAAATAGTTAATAGCATGATTCTTTATGGCCTTTCAGGCATCCTTATTGTTATTTTACCCTCATCTTCCCTTCTTCTGTATTTAGAGACTAGAGACTCCCTCCCCAGTCTCTAAAGAGCCACCTCTTTTCACATTTCCCCTGAACAGATCATTTATATATAAACACATTTGTCAGCAAAGCTTCAAATTTCATCAGAGTTTTGAAACATTGACATCATATGATGCTTTTTTCCTCTTCTGGAATAAGGTCATTTTAATTAACTTTGACTTCAGAGGACAAATAGGGCATTCAGTCAAAATAAAGAAAGACTCATGAACCAAAATGATACCTAGATTTCATAAGCATTTTTCTATGACTGGCTTCTCTCTGTTTAGTTTTTAAAAGAGTCGCTAAAGTGTTAATAATTGTCAGTTGCTGAATATTTCTTTTCTATTGCCATGATCAAATATCCTAACCGAAAGAAATAGGGCAGGGAAAGATTATTTCAGTTACAGGTTACAGTCCATCACGGAGGAACATTAAGGCAAGAGCTCAATCAGGAGCTTGAAGCAGAAACGAGGAAGAAATACTGCTTGCTGGCTTCATCCTGCTTAGCTAGTCAGACCTGTCTGACTAGGGAATGGGGCTGCGGGGTGTTCACTGAGCCCTCCTACATTAATTAATAATCAGGACAGTTCCCCTACCCCCTGCCACATGTCTGCAGACCAGTCTAATCCAGGAGATCTTAACTGCGTCTCCCTTCTCAGATAATTCTAGGCTATGTGGAGTTGACGACTAAAGTTAACTAGGACACTCTACCCTTGTCAACCTGACACACAAACACATTACTCTAATCCATAACCATTCATTCCTTGTTCCCAAGATCTCATGTTGCGATCATACTATTTCAAAAATTCTACCACTTTAAAAATATGTGGTTTCCTTCAAAATTCAGTCTCCTAATAGGAGTCTTGTAAATTAATTTTTAAAAAGCTACATACTTACGATTCCAAAGGGTGCATTAAAGCAATCAGATAAAAGCAAAACCGAAATGCAGCAGCGTAAATCTAAATCCTATAGAACACTGCCTAACATCTATGATTCACGGTATAGTTTTCTGGCTCCAAAAGGGCTGGTGCACTTTTGGAGCACTTCTCCAGTTCTGCCATTTGCAGTTTAGATAGTTTTTCTTATAAATTTAGGCCAGCTCTACTTCAGACCTTCCAACTGCCCTTGGCAGATATCTTGCTATCATGGATATTCAATATCCTGGCCTTCCATTGCAACTAATGCTACCTCTTCACTAATGGCTTTCCCTGCCCTCTTCACAGGGAATTCAACCTTCACAAGATTCAGCTGATCTCCATGACCCCCTTCATCCCTTTATAATCAGTGTCACCTGGGCAACTCTTTCATACTATTTGCTAAGTTATGCTGCCAGATTGAAATGCAGTCTTGGCCTCCTAAGTAAGACCATAGCTTCTGTGTGCCAACCCTGATGAATAACTTCCCTATTTTTCCAATGAAGCACAGATTTCTTCTCACTTGATCCCTTATTAGTTGTAGCTGATTCTCAGTCCCAGCTGACATGTTATGTACCAATATATAAAACGAACACCACCTAGCCCAGTTACACGGTATACAGGTCTTTATTTTCCTCTGAAACCTTACATACCAGGCCTCCATCGGTTGTTTTTCTCTCAGAATTCTTATAGCCCAAACTCCCATTACCACAGTCCATTACACACACACACACACACACACACACACACACACACACACACACACATGTTACCAGTACTCAATGGCTTTTCCAGATTAAAGTTCCAAATCTTTCCAACAGAATTGTCCAAACGGTCAACACAAATTGTTCAAATTGTCATCACAGCAACACCCCACTCTTGGTATCAATTTCTGTTATATTTTATCTTTTGTTGCTGTGAAAAAAACAATCTGACCAAAAACAACTTCTTAGAGGGGAAGTGGCTCTATTTCAGCCTACAGGTTATAGTCTGTCTTAGTTACTGTTCTATTGTTATGAAGAGACATCATGACCAAGACAGCTTTTAGAAAGCATGTAGTTGGGGACCTGCTTACAGTTTTGTAGAGTTATTCCATGACTATTATAGAGGGAAGCACACAAGCATGGTGTTAGAGCAGAAGCTGAAATATACCCTGATCTACAGGCAGCAGGAAGAAAGAGTGGCACCAGCTTTCAGACATCAAAGCTCTCCCCCAATGGCACACCTCCTTCAATGGAGGCCATATCCACTCCAACAAGGTCATACTACCAGCGCTTCCCAAACAGTTTTACTCTCTCTTCACTAACTATTCAAATATATGAGCCTATGGGGTCATTCTCATTCAAACCACCACTCTAGCATTTAAGGAACTTGAAGCAGAAAACATAAGAGTATGTTGTTTGCTGACTCATTCATGAGCTCAAGTTTAACTAGCTTTCTTACATAGCCTAGGACCACCTGCCTAGGGTCTGGTGTGGCCCACAATGGGTTGGGTCCCCCAATATCACTTAATAGTTGTTCCAGGTTGCATATGTTGCTCTGTTAAACTACTCTGGCCCACGACAACTTGGGGAAGGAATGAGTTTACTTCAGCTACAGGCTATAGTCTACCACTAAGAGAAGTCACAGCAGGGACTCCAGCAGGAACTTGAAGTGAAAAACCACAGAGGAATGCTACTTGCAGGCTTGCCCACAGGCTCCTGCATAGCCAGCTTTCTTACACAGTCCAGGACCCATGCCCAGGGTATGGTACCACCCACAATAAGTTGGACCCTTCTTATAAGCTAGCGGTCAAGTCAGTCCTTCACAGACATGCCCTACGGGTATCTCAATCTAATCTGACCAGTTCCTTTACCAAGAAGCCCTTCTCAGATGACTCTAGCCTCTTAAGCTGACAAAACTAACTAGGACACTGGACTTCTGTGGTGATAGGACTTTCATGGAAAACCTCTGTAAACAGTAAGTACTTCCTATTTAATCTTTTATATCTGACAAATGCCTGACTAAATAAAGGTGTTGAGATGAAGTCCATGATAGGTTTAGCAGTTTAATATCAGACAGCTCCTTTGTGATGAGGAATACTTGTGAGTAGCACATATCTGTGGATTCTTTTATGTAGTTTTATTAAAAGACTTTCTTAAAGGACTAAGCAGACAAAAATTCCCCTCACTTGTAGATCCCCAAGAGACCAACATTTTGTTTGTTAGAAAGAGAAAACATAATTTCTTAAGATTTTTTTAGTTCTCAAAGTCAAGTGTTAAAATAAAAAAATCAAATTATTTATGGCATAATTATTTGCAAATTTTTACTTATTTACTCAAGCTAATTATGATTGTTAATGTGGCTTTTTTTTTCCTTGTACATGTTTTTCTTCTCTAAGCAGAGGATGTTGGTGGGAGTGGGACGTATTCCTCTGTGTGGGTGATGTCACTGTTTCTCTTTGCTTGGAAAACAAGCTAAGTTAACCTCGTTGGACTCTTCCCCAGGAATTGACGCGCATACACGTGGTGGTTCATTATGCTGCTGCACCTGTGTAGCGTGAAGGTCAGTGTGCTTTTCTGATTATAAGAAACCATCCATGTCATTCCATTATAATCCCTCCCACTCATAATGGAATGTGCCTGAGCCCAGGGACTATCGGCGCTGCCCAGCCCGGAATTTTCTCAAGTGCCGTCTCAACAATTGAGATCTATCACCCACCCCTTTCCATGGCCTGCATCTCCCAAGAATCCCACTGTGCTCCATTTTGAGATGATGTTATTTGCATGTCAAGTCCTTCTTGTGTGATGTGTGTGTGTGCCGTTGTCAAAAGTAAATTTTTATGTGGAATCAATTGCTCTGTGGTGGTCCTTTAAAAGTTACATACAAGAGCTTCACTAGGCCTTAGATAATATCCAACAATTAATATGGGCACTGGCTATATGCCTTGGGAAAAGAACAATTCTTCACTCAGAGTCAGGAATTCTGGGATGCTATGGGGCAAATAGAATGGGCCTCTTGCGTTTGTTTCTAGGAGCTTTACATGGAAGATGCTTTCAACCAACTTCCCTCAGATTTCCTGCCAAATCCCCTTCTTTTCTTTTTGCTGTCTCACTGTTAGTAAAATCCCTTCCCAGGGAGAGACATACCAATGTCTATCCCTTTTCCTAAGGTCCCAATGGCAAACCCAGGCATGATTCTGCAAAACTTCACTCTGGGAAGCCAGTGAGTTTATTACAGAGCCTATGTGAGGGGTTATTAACGGGGGTGTGGGCACTCCTCCTCCAACAGGGTTGCACCTAAAAACCTTATCCAGCAAGAATGACGGACTCCCCGTATCATCATAGATGGAGCCTGACTCCTCTAGTCTTTCTGGCCTCTGTAGACTCTGGCCCCTCTCCTGGGCTGCTTGAATTTCCAAGTAGGGAACAGCTGGATACTCAGGTGAGAATCTCAGAGCCCACTCTGCCCCTCTCTGCTGGGGTTTAAACCATCCACAAGAATGACTTTCATGCAAGGCAGAGAGGTACAGGTGAATTCCCCCAGATGGTGGTTGCTTGGCTCAGAGGACGCTCACTCAAGACAGTCATATCTTCAGTAATAGCCCTGGCTATCTGGAATGATGGCTCACAGTTTCTAATCACCATGCATCATGATTTGCACTGCATTTTCCCCCATGAGCTCGTTTCCTAAGAGGTAGCTGGGATTATTGTTCCTGTTTAATATGAGAAAGAGCCCGAGCTGCTCAGACTGGAACAGATGCTGCAAAGTCTCAGTTGGTGAGAAGCAGTGCTTCAAGTATGGTCCATACATCTGAGCTGGAATCCCTAACTACTGGATCCTTGAACTGCTTCCGCAGTAGTCCCTCAGACAGGCACTAAGGGAAGCTTTGCTTAAAACTATATAAATGCTTGCATTGCGTAGTGCTTTGGAAATTTACTAAGCACAACAGTTTGAATATGTAGCTAGTTCTTGAGTTAACCATGTAGGAAGAAGAACAAAGGCCCTTGATGTTCACTGTGAGATGGTTTGTGATGCTAACACACACACACACACACACGTAGCTTTCATCCGACACACGGCATTGCTGCTATCTCATGTACAGGGCAACTCTCTTCCTTAGGAAGTTATGAGTAACACTCCTAGAGCATGAGCACATTATGTGTTAGGTTGAGAAGCTCTGAATTTATGCTCAAGCCTGTACTGCTAAACATCCAGGGCAGGCTTAGCACAGAAACCTTAGCACAGTGCCCCCCTTTCTTACTGAGAATGCTCGTCATTCCATGGCTCCTGCGACACTGCCATGTCAGAGGCCTTACCCTGTTCCTTTCCTCCAGCATTTTCCCCAGTCTTCCTCATTTAGAAAGAAATTAACTTTGGCTAAGTTTCCCCTGTTGCACAACACACCAATCTTTTTTTGTTGCCCCTGAGCTTTGCACTTGTTCTTTGGCTGGAAAGGGACAGAGATGGGGAGAGGGAGAGAGAGAGAGAGAGAGAGAGAGAGAGAGAGAGAGAGAGAGA